ATCTGGGGATCCTGATCCAGGAGATCCTGGCCACAGTCTCAGGATCCTTGCCCAGCAGATCCCAGCCACAATCCCAGGATCCCCAGCCAGCAGATCCCGTCCATGATCCCAGGATCCTGATCCAGGAGATCCTGGACACAACCCCAGGATCCCTGCCCAGCAGATCCTGGCCAGGATCCTGGGATCCCCATCGAGCAGATCCCAGCCACGATCCCGGGATCCTGATCCAGCAGATCCTGGCCACAATCCTGGCATTCCCACCGAAGAGATCCCAGCCACAATCCCAGGATCATGATCGAGGAGATCCTGGCCACAATCACATGGTCCCCACCCAGCAGATCCAGGCCACAATCTGGGGATCCTGATCCAGGAGATCCTGGCCACAGTCTCAGGATCCTTGCCCAGCAGATCCCAGCCACAATCCCAGGATCCCCAGCCAGCAGATCCCGTCCATGATCCCAGGATCCTGATCCAGGAGATCCTGGACACAACCCCAGGATCCCTGCCCAGCAGATCCTGGCCAGGATCCTGGGATCCCCATCGAGCAGATCCCAGCCACGATCCCGGGATCCTGATCCAGCAGATCCTGGCCACTATCACAGGATCCCTGCTCAGCAGATCCCAGTCAGGATCCTGGGATCCCCGCCCAGCAGTTCCCAGCCACGATCCTCTGATCCCAGCCCAATAGATCCTGGACACAATCCCAGGGTCCCCACCCAACAGATCCTGGCCAGGATCCCAGGGTCCCCACCCAGTAGATCCCAGGATCCCAACCCAAACAGATCCCAGATAGGATCCCAGGATCCCCACCCAGCAGATCCCAGCCACGATCTCGGGATCCTAGGATCCCCACTCAACAGATCCTGGCCACAATCCCAGGATCCCAGGATCTCCACCCATCAGATCCCAGCCAGGATCCCAGGGCCCTCGGATCCCCATTCAACAGATCTCAGCCACGATTGTGGGATCCCAGGATCTCCACCCATCAGATCCCAGCCAGGATCCCAGGAGCCTCACTCAACAGATCCCAGCCAGGATCCTGGAATTCCACCCATCAGATCCCAGCCAAGATCCCATCAGATCTCGGGATCCCCACTCAGATCACAGCCATGATCCCACGATCCCAGGATCCACACTCAACAGAACCCAGGATCCCCGTCCATCAGCTCCCGGCCCGGATCCCAACAGATCCCGGGATCCCCACTCAACAGATCCCAGGATCCCCATCCATCAGCTCCCGGCCCGGATCCCAGCAGATCCCGGGATCCCCATCCATCAGATCCCAGCCCAGATCCCAGCAGATCCCAGCCCGGATCCCAGCAGATCCTGGGATCCCCACTCAACAGATCCCGGGATCCCCGTCCATCAGATCCCGGCCCGGATCCCAACAGATCCCGGGATCCCCACTCAACAGATCCCAGGATCCCCATCCATCAGCTCCCGGCCCGGATCCCAGCAGATCCCGGGATCCCCGTCCATCAGATCCCGGCCCGGATCCCAACAGATCCCGGGATCCCCACTCAACAGATCCCAGGATCCCCATCCATCAGCTCCCGGCCCGGATCCCAGCAGATCCCGGGATCCCCGTCCATCAGATCCCGGCCCGGATCCCAACAGATCCCGGGATCCCCACTCAACAGATCCCAGGATCCCCATCCATCAGCTCCCGGCCCGGATCCCAGCAGATCCCGGGATCCCCGTCCATCAGATCCCGGCCCGGATCCCAACAGATCCCGGGATCCCCACTCAACAGATCCCAGGATCCCCATCCATCAGCTCCCGGCCCGGATCCCAGCAGATCCCGGGATCCCCGTCCATCAGATCCCGGCCCGGATCCCAACAGATCCCGGGATCCCCACTCAACAGATCCCAGGATCCCCGTCCATCAGATCCCAGCCCAGATCCCATCCGATCCCGGGATCCCCGTCCATCAGCTCCCGGCCCAGATCCCAACAGATCCCGGGATCCCCACTCAACAGATCCCAGGATCCCCGTCCATCAGATCCCGGCCCGGATCCCA